CCAGTAACATGATAACTGTCGATAAAATAGGGAACAGGGAGTTCTGAAGTAATCCTCGGTTGTATGTCGTGTGTTTGCATGAACCCACACGTCCTCGGGCGCACAAAATTCAGTCCGCACAAACGCTTTGTGGGGAACTCGCGCGCACATTCCTTAGGACACACTTCTGACACGTCATAATCCCGAGGAGTTAGTTCAGTATACTGTAGATTCTACGCCATCATCTGACGATCAAGGTTTCACTTTTTTCCTCACTACGAAGTTATGAATAATACTCCTGGGGCCAGGCAGGACTGCGAGGTAGATTCCCAGACAACGAAGACCTCCAACGCTACAAGAACTCCCAACATCATCCTCATGCTGGTGACAGTGATGACTCTTGTTCTCGCTGATGCCTTCATGGTTGACGATATCACTGGCAAGACGATCCACATCCCCGAGCCACGCTCTCTTCGTATGCAGGTGGTGAAGGAGGTTCCCGATAATTGCTTGAGTCATAACGACGGGTGGACCTATTGCGCGTTCATCCTCGAGGATTCCAATCAAGTCAATGGCGGCACACGGCTCGTCTCTAGTAAGGGTGACTGGAAAACGCTCGACCTCGAGCTTGGAGTGCTTCTCGCGTCGGACTCGAGCCCGGCCGATGTGGGTATTTATGTCTCTGGTGTGAATATCTGGAAATTTGATATTTTCTGTGGCATCTCAGTTGAAGTTCAGTTAAGTGTGCCAACTATCTCGAAGAACGGTGGGTATGATGCTGCTTCCTGGAAGGTAATCGACTTCCCGGTTTCCCTGCAAACCTGGGTAACTGTCCCTCACTTTGGTACGGTGCAAGCGGAGAAGCAGGGCCAAGGCCATGCGTATGTAAATTCGAACACATTCATGAATAGTAATCATGAGCTTTCGGTGGACATCCAGGCGGCCAACACCAGCGGTCCACTGAACTCGAGCATAGAGGTTTTTGTCAAGAACGTTTACATTCCGGCGGAAGAAGCGTGGAGCTTCGTAGCCTATGTCTCTCTGGGTTTCCACTTGCTCACAGATGATTTACAGATCTCCTACCAGAAGGGCACTCTCCTCTCTCATATTCAAATCCCATTCAAATTTCCCCCGCGTTCCGGATAGTCAAGGACTATAACTACCACTAATAGTGATTCACTATTCTTTATGGTGGTCTCGGGTCTTGAGCATATGAGGCGCGCTTATCGTTCTCGTTGCTTTCCAACAGTCACAGTTGTCGAGAACATGTATAAGACATATGGTTGCATATTTTGCGAGATTAGAAGGTATGCCAGTCTGACGAACCAGATATTCGATTTTCACATGTGACGGTTGTCATGAAGTTGGTGTTTAGCATTTGCATTTGCATTTTATTGCATCTGAGAACTTCCTGTTTGCTGAATCAACTACTACGAATTTTGCCGCGGATCGTGTTGGTCATATATGCGAGTGAACTCATATACCAGCGACCGTCAACAGTAACTCGTTCGATTCCTCCTTTATGCTGCATCATGACGCCAGTAGCGCCGCGTTGCACATGACGGGACTGTAGATCATCGTATTCCATCCCTAGCTTAGATTTGGAGGACTACTTCATTTGAAATCAGTAGACTTCCTCTGGAAAGGCCTTGAAGTGGGAGCTTCCATTCAAACGTTCATTAGAAGATTCTACATTGAGAACTTGGGATGGCTTAGCATAGATATACATCGAGCGCTCATTCGAGCCATCATCAGCTGACATGGCATGTCATTGCATTCCATGTTGGATCAGAGTCCCTGACTATCTC